TACAAGAACAATTCATGCACATCAAGTAAAGGCCAATACATAGTATAAGAAGTTTCTTGCAATTTTATCGTGTTGGAAACATAGAGAGGTGGAGATATAGTTACTCTCTCATAATAATTGCAAGTAGGAGCAGCAAGCACATGCATATTATATTCATCAAAATCATCATGTGCAACGATAAAAGGCAACCCATCAATATAATCCTTAACAAGAGCAAACTTCTCCGATATAGTGTAGTTGGGAGAACTCAAAAAGATAATAGGACTATCATTTGTGGGTGCAATAGCAACAATTTCATGTTTAACATAAGGAACAATAGCAAGTTCATCTCCATAAGCATCATTCATATTGGCGTCTTGGCCACAAGCATAGCAAGCATCAAGTTCATCAAAAAGGATATTTCAAAAGAATCAACGGGATCATAGCAATTATCATAGCATTCATCCTTTGGTAAGAATGAAGGAACATAAAACAATGTATGAGTTGGAGGGTTACTCTCTTTAGAAGGCGGGCACGGGTGATCAATCCAGTCTTCCTTCGCTTGTTCTTCGCTCTCCTCATCATCTTTTTCATCCAATGAGCTCATAGTTTCATCAATTCCTTCTTCCATAGACTCCTGCAAGATATTAGTCTCTTCTTGCACAGCGGAGACTTTCTCAATAAATGCATCAATATCAGAATTGTAGTTATAATTCTCATAGCAATATTTAAGGATAGCAAAATTTTCAGGTCTACAAACTGAATCATCAAAATCTTCAAACTTTTCAAACAGAGATTCAATTTCATAAGCACCCTTAAAAGCAACAAATTCTTCTATTCGTTCCACATCATAGTAATCATATATACCTCTAGCATAAGAAGCCAAGGTTTCATTATCATTAAATTCACATGAAAAGGGAAGATGTGGAGCATTCATCCTAGAGCAGCAAGTATAATCATATCTCTGGCATAAATCCCAAGCATACCATTGCAACATTTCAATTTGATCCCATAAAAGTGTTCCTTTTTGAGTCAACGATAATCCCTAAAATATTCACGTTGATCCAACGTTACTCCCATTATCAAGTTGAATGGGGTTTTCTCAGGATTATCAAAGTAGTGCATAATATTTTTCACATAATGAGCATCGAGGGTTTTAGAGGTTCCCCATCTCCATGAGTAGCAAGTGCAACTAATGTTTTTGGTGTTTCATGTTCCATATCCATAACTAAAGATAGAGAGCAACTTAGAACAGGAAATAAAAACTACTTAGTGATAAAGCAAACAAGCACACACGAGAATATTCACCCTACGCTATTGCTCCCCGACAACGGCGCCAGAAAAAGGTCTTGATAACACACAAGTATAGGGGATCAATTTAGCCTCTCTCGATAAGTAATAGTGTCGAACCCAATGAGGAGCTAAAGGTAGAACATATATTCCCTCAAGTTCTATCGACCACAGATACAACTCTACGCACGCTTGACGTTTGCTTTACCGGAAACAAGTATGAAACTATTTGGCAAGAATAAATCTACGAGTACTTTGCGGGCATAAAACTACGAATAAATTGCAAGGTAATAAAAGTGGATAGCTTTTGTCAACAAGAAAGTTATTTATCCCTAGGCAATCGATAACAAGTACCGGTAATCATTCTTGCAATTTTATATGAGGGAGAGGCATGAGCTAACATACTTTCTCTACTTGGATCATATGCACTTATGATTTGAACTCTAGCAAGCATCCGCTACTACTAAAGATCATTAAGGTCGTGAAACCCAACCATAGCATTAAGTATCAAGTCATCTTTACTCCCATACGACATAACCCACCTACTCGGGTTTAAGTTTTTGTCACTCTCGCAACCCACCATAAGCAAACCATGAACATATTGCAACACCCTACAGCAGGGGCCCCTCACGTTTGCGCGAGACGGAGGGCACCGTAGGACAGCACCATAAATAAAATATACAATCATACCAACCAAGATCATGGAGAAGAGCTGTGGCGGGGGCGCTCAGACGGAGGAAGGGGTGGGGGAGGAAAGAACGACCGCGGCAACCTTTAAGGGAGACGGTGCCGACGCGATCCAGGACGGACAAGGGGGTTGGGTTTTTTAAAGATCCAGCAAATTGCTGGTTTCCATTAGATTCAGCAGAAAGCAGCGGAAGAAACAACATGGGGAGGATCCGAAGATCAAAGAAAAACAAAAAATAGCAACCCTATTAGCTGCAGAACAACACTACTCTTACAAGGCGGAACACCATCCACCCAAAGCAAGACAACACAGCTCCAAGTCCGACGAACAACTACGGAGAACAAAGCAAGGTTGGCGCTACAAAATATTACCGAACGAACCGCCTGCCATCCGTCATCGTATGCCACCGATGCCCCGCACCGCAGCTTCGACTTCATAGCAATAAGCAACCGAGGTATCTTACGGACACGTCAGAGAAGAGCCGACTACCACGACCAATGCCACGCCTCCGACAATGTCCACCACCGTCATCGTTGCCACAGAAGCCAAACCACCCTCATTGCCGGACAGACACGACCAAGCAGCACAAGCGACATCCCCATCTACCACTGGTCCCTCCGTCCGGTAAGTAGCTCCTGGAGTGATGTCCCAAGAGGTGCGACATGTGTCGCCATCATCGTCCGATCCTAGGGGATCATGGGTTTCCCCCGAGCATCCTTATGTAGTGAAGCGAGCAGGAACGCCTTAGCGACGCCTTCAAGAAGGAAGTGGCGCCCGTGGGTGTCACCGTCACTTGCCCCGTCCCAAAAACTGGCGGCAAGGTCTTCACCTGACGCTGCACCTCCAACCACCAACCCGAGCCAGACCACTACCACTACAGTAGCCATATTCAACCATGACTGGTCAGATCCGGTAGCCCGTGCATCAGCTGCAGCCACCCTCGCACGCACCATCGGCCGTGTACCGCCGTCCACACGGCCAGCACGACGCCCAACACCGCCTCGCCCCGGAGCCTCCGCTCCGACGACTTCCTACTTGCAGATCCGCGGACACCTGACCACTCTCGCCTCCACCATCAGATCCACTCCCGCGGCTTCGCTCGCTGGGACCAGGAGCCCGCCCGAGACTCAGCATGGTGCCTCCAGTGAGTGCCCTGGCTGGCACCATCGGTGCTGGGTCCGCTGGGACCGCGCCCCCATGGCCGAGGAGAGCAGAGGAGCCGTCTCGACCAGGGGAGGATGCGGCCTGATGGCCCAGATCCAGTCCCCCCAAACATCGATGGAATCACCGAGCGCCGGCCAGGGGCGGCCTTGCCGCCAAGAGGGACACCGCCCCTCGAGCAGCACGCGTCGGCCACCCGCCGCCGGCCTGACGCACGCCACCAGTCCCCTAAAAGCCGCGAGATGTGGGACCAAGGGTCACCTACCGAGGAAACCGCCCCGCCGCCGCCTTCCCTGGGGCACGCGTGGGCTTCGCCGGCATCCCCTCCGATGGCGGCGTAGCGAGGGAGGAGAGGCGAGGGAGCCCAGCGGCGCGGCTAGGGTTTCCCCCGTGTCGCCAAAGGATGCGACGTGGGGGGGGGAAGAAAGTGCAGGGGGTTGGTTGTGGAGTGGGAGACGACCTTGGAGAGAGGAGCGGTCATGGTGGCGCTGAATGAGGGATGACGGGGAGAGCGGGGAAGGAGCAAATGGTGGCGGCGGCGATGATTTAGGGCTACACGAATCTTGTCAGCACTTTGATGGTGGGACGGGAGGGTGGGTGTGCATCTCGAGGGTGGAGCTCCAGTTGCAGACGGCGTGGAGGTTTTCGGGGAGAGGGTCATACTTTAAGGGGACGAACGACGTTCTTGTGAAGCTTGTCAGCGGGGAAGGGGAAGGAGAAGGAGAAGTAGGTGGCAGCGCCATCACGGATGGGGACTGGTGAAGGAGACGGCGAGGAGGAAAATAGGCGTTGGTCGCAGCCGGCGCCGGCATTGGAGTGGCAGATCGGTTCCATGGTTGGATCGGGTGGGGCGCTGGAGATAGATACTAAGGGGTTTTGACAGGGGCTGGCGAAGGAGACGACGAGGAGGAGGAGAGGCGTTGGCGACGGACGGCGCCGTCATTGGAGTGGCAGATCGGTTTCATGGTTGGATCGGGTGGGGTGCTGGAGATAGATACTATTTTTTGTGTAGTTGTAGGGAAAGAAAAAGAGTAGAGAGTAGAGATTAGAGAAGAGAGCAGCCAACCTTTTTCCTCAAGCTCGTAACCCTAGCCGGGAGGGCATCCGCACCCCCCCGCAGACGGGCGAAGAAAGTGCAGGGGGTTGGTTGTGGAGTGGGAGATGACCTTGGAGAGAGGAGCGGTCATGGTGGCGCTGAATGAGGGATGACGGGGAGAGCGGGGAAGGAGCAAATGGTGGCGGCGGCGATGATTTAGGGCTACACGAATCTTGTCAGCACTTTGATGGTGGGACGGGAGGGTGGGTGTGCATCTCGAGGGTGGAGCTCCAGTTGCAGACGGCGTGGAGGTTTTCG